TTAATTATACTCATTGCGGCGCACTGTATTCGTTGCACGCTGCTAATTAATATGCACGGTGCTAATTGCAGAGCATTGCACTCGTTGCACGGTGTTAATTGCAATTAACATGCACGGTGCTAATTAATATGCACGGTGCTAATTAATATGCACGGTGCTCATTGCGCGGCACTAATTACAGCGCGTGGTGCTAATTAATACGCACTAATTGGTGCTAATTGGACAGCACTGCATTCACTGCGCAGCGTTGCATTCGTTGCACGCTGCTAATTAATATGCATGGCGCTAATTAATATGCACGGTGCTCATTGTGCAGCACTAATTACAGTGCATGGTTCTAATTAATATGCACGGTGTTAATTGCAGGGCACGGCGTTAATTATACGGCATGGAACTCATTGCTGCAGTCATTGCACGCTGCTAATTAATATGCACGGCTCTAATCAATACGCACGGTGCTAATTAACATGCGCTAATTGGAGGTAATTGGACAGCACTGCATTCACTGCGCAGCGTTGCATTCGTTGCGCGCTGCTAATTGATATGCATGGTGCTAATTAATATGCACGGTGCTAATTAATATGCACGGTGCTCGTTGCGCGGCACTAATTACAGTGCATGGTGCTAATTAATATGCACGGTGCTAATTGCAGAGCATTGCACGCGTTGCACGGTGTTAATTGCAATTAACATGCACAGTGCTAATTAATATGCACGGTGCTCATTGCGGGGCACTAATTACAGCGCGTGGTGCTAATTAATACGCACTAATTGGTGCTAATTGGACAGCACTGCATTCACTGCGCAGCGTTGCATTCGTTGCACGCTGCTAATTGATATGCATGGTGCTAATTAATATGCACGGTGCTAATTAATATGCACAGTGCTCATTGCGCGGCACTAATTACAGCGCGTGGTGCTAATTAATACGCACTAATTGGTGCTAATTGGACAGCACTGCATTCACTGCACAGCGTCGCATTCACTGCACGCTGCTAATTAATACGCACGGCACTAATTAATATGCACGGTGCTAATTGCAGAGCATTGCATTTGTTGCACAGTGTTGATTGCAATTAACATGCATGGTGCTGATTAACATGCACGGCGCTAATTAATGTGCACGGTACTAATTGCACAGCGTTGCATTCACTGCACAGCATTGCACTGATTGCGTGGTGTGAATTAATTGCAATGCTAATTAATTAACCGATTACCTAATCAATTAGCGAAGGGATTCACCAACTAATTAACCAACCAATTAGCCAATTAACGGATCAATTAACGAATTACTGCTGTTCTCTCCTTTCAGGGTGCCTCTGCTGCCGCCCATCCTCATTAAACCCCTAACGAAGGAGCTCGTTAACGAAGGAGCTTGTTAACGAAGGTTCTAATGAAAGAGCCGGTTAATTAGTGAGTGGATGCGCCCTAATAAAGGAACTGATTAATTACTGAGCGCGTCCACCTAAAGAAGAAGATGGTTAATTACCGAAGGAGCTCGTTAATTACTGAGTGGATGCACCTAACGAAGGAGCTCATGAACTAATAAAGGAGCTATTTAAGTAAGGAAGGAACTGGTTAATTAGCGGAGGAGCTGGTTAATTACTGATGAGATCCACCTAAGGAAGGAGCTGGTTAATTACCGAAGGAGGCAGTTAATTACCAAAGGAGCTGATTAATTACTGAGCAGATCCACCTAAGGAAGGAGTTGGTCAATTAGCGAAGGAGGCGGTTAATTATCAAAGGACCTGGTTAATTACTGAACAGATCCACCTAAGGAAGAAGCTGGTTAATTACCGAAGGAGTTGGTTAATTACCAAAGGAGGTGGTTAATTAGCAAAGGACCTGGTTAATTACTGAACAGATCCACCTAACAAAAGAGGCGCTTAATTACTGAAGAAGCTGATTAATTACCGCAGGAGGCGGTTAATTACTGAACAGATCCAACTAAGAAAGGAGGAAATTAATTGCCAAAGGAGCTGATTAATTACCGAAGGAGCTGATTAATTATCAAAGGAGCTGATTAATTCCTGAGCAGATCCACCTAATAAAGGAGGCGGTTAATTACCGAGGGAACTGACTAATTACTGAAGGAGGCGGTTAATTACTGAAGGTGCTGATTAATTCCTGCGCAGATCCACCTAACAAAGGAGGCGATTAATTACCGAAGCACTGGTTAATTACCGAAGGAAGCAGTTAATTATCAAAGGAGCTGCTTAATTAACAAGGCAGCTGGTTAATTCTTGCGTGGATACAGCTAACAAAGGATCTGGTTAATT